GACACGTTTCGGAGGAGTATGGTAACTAACATTGTGACACGAGAATTTTATATAAAAGATAATATTATCCATAAAGCATTATTTTGAAATTGCAAATTGTTCAGTGTTCTCTTGTTTTAGATCGCGTCAACCTTCAGCTGGGGCTTTTCTATGACATGCAACGTGGATCAGGTGGTGCCCGCGAGTGACGAACAGGGCGTGGCCCGCACTGATGTCACGGAGGTGAGGGCCCACTTCGTGCGCAACCACGTGCCCGTCAGCGTCGAAGAAATCGAGAAGTAACCAACCGTCCGAAACGGTCGTTTGAGCGGCGTGACGTCAGCAGTTCCCTCAATCATATTATTTAAACTATTTGCAGTTTGCGAAGTGACACGGCGTTGCTGGGTACCATCCAGCGCACCCTGAGCACGGAGCGGCTGGCGCTGCTGGACTTGGTGACAGGTGACAGTCCCAGTCTCAGCGACAATTCCAATACCGGGCTGCTGTATGCGGTGGCAGGACTCGCCGCTCTCCTCGGGTTAATGTGCATCGTGCTGCTCATTACTTTTATAGTCAGAACCAGAACGTAAGGCGCCTTCCGTAACTAACTGACATATGTTTAAAAATTTACCGAATTCAAAAATTTCAAGTCAAAAATCATTTATATATAGACGTTCATAAGTATACATATAGGTAACACAATGTATACTTATGAACGTCAAAATAGAAATAAACATTAAATGCTTCTCATTTTACATTTACCGCCAGTTCTCAAATCAAGGGCGTAGAACGGAAGAGAAGAACTGGCAATAAACTCTCCGCCACTCTTTTTAATCGCCGAGTTTTTTGTTTTACACAACGTTTGTAAGGAGCTGCAACCATTACACCATGTTCCACGAATTCAGAACTAAAGATTCTCTTAGCTAGGTTTACAACTTAAACATTTAAAGATACAATTTCAGTAGAAATTTACGGATACAATCACAGGCTGGCACAGTTTTGCCCTAAATGGTTAAATTATTAAGCCTTTCTGCGGACACCGGCACCGATCACATGGTAGCAGCCAGAAACTTGAATGAGCCGGTCACTAAAGACACACACACACTATAAATATATCTTAGACGTATATAATTATTGTTTTCGTTGTGAGTAGACTGCACCGTCAGCTGCAAGCTTTGTCGATGACGAAGTACGGGTCGCAAGACTCGGGTATGAATCGCGCGGGTCTGGCGGCGCCCGGCACCAACAAACACGCAGCCGAGGGCTCCAACCCTATCTGGAACGACGCCCTGAAGGCACCAGACTTTGACGCCTTAAGGTTGGTGCAGCCAGATATAATAATTAAACGAAGTGATTCGAGAGAAAAGAAATTAATTCATAATAAACTCCCAACACTAGCGACGATTCCGACGACTCTGACCTGATAGGGATCGAAGACCTACCGCAGTTCCGCACCGACAGCATCCCGGCCAACGCTCTCGACTTCGGGGAAGAGGTACAGAGGGCACATTCTAGTTATTAAAACAATACTATTTAAAATTTCTTTCATAATGTAATATTTAATAATGCGTTATATTTAATATTCTTTTCAGACTCGAAGCAAATTGGCGACACACGATAACAACTTTGCCTTTAACCCGACACCTTTCAGTCCAGAATTCGCAAACGAACCGATCAGACGATAGGGAACGTTTACATTGTTTTTATACCATTAAAAAGGAAAACATTTTATAATAATAATCTTTTATTTACTCCATATATACCAAATACTATACATTCCGAAACATATCCTTGCTAATTTAGAAGGTATTAACAATCTTAAACGATTTGAATTCAACGTGACCAGCCGTTTGATTAAAAAAAATTTATTCGGTTTTAACTTTTAATTGAAACAACAACTTGTATGATGTAAAACAATGCATAGTTTTTATTGACAAATTTACATGCGACGTTGCCGTTTTGTGTTACGCTATTGTGCGAAAGGGTAGGAAATATCGTTGTTGGATGTTAGGCAAAAGAGAGAGAGATGTCGGCGTGCGGCGCGCACGCCATCATTTCTCCCCACTTACTTTTTAGCCTCTCAAATCTGTCCCGCGGGTTGCGGGTTTTCCTACCAAATTTAGGGGGAAACAAGATGGGCAGGGGTTTATTAGGGGTTACTTTATTTCAGAATTTTTCCTTAAGAAACGCATGATTCTATACAATTATAAAACAATTACATTATTATTTAATTCATATTTGAATATACCCCTCAAACCGAGTGGTTTTTAATCGATATTTGAAGTTGGTCCTAGGGGACCTTCTGTAGGAGTTGGCATCACTGTCTCTGTCGCGCGCTGGACAGCGCTTCATGCTTTGCACTTTACATCTAGAAATTTAACTACTTTTTGTGTGCAACGTATGGTTTTAACAATATGTTTAATAACGTATATTGACCCAATATAAAAATCTATTATTCAGAATTTGTTTGATTAAAACACAAGTAAACTTAGCGATATTATTAGGTCCTTACATATGAAATTAGCGTATTTCGTACTGGCTACTTTAATCACGATGTTCTCCTCTTTGGTAAGGAATTCCAAATTCAAATTTGTACAGCTATTTACTCATGTATTTGTGCTTCGAACACAGTCATTCATTTGTTTTTTTCTGTTTGCGTCACTCATTTTACAAAATGGAAAACTTAAAGTATCGCATTATTTACGAGTACGAGTTCCGCCGTGGCACTAGTGCTGCGACTCGAAGGGTGAATGATGTGTATGGCGGTCATGTTGCAAAAGAAAACACAGATCGTTTTTGGTTCCAACGTTTTCGTTCTGGAAATTTCGACCTGCAGAACAAGCCCCGTGGACGGTCTGAGACCCAAGTTGATAATGAAGTATTGAAGGCTATTGTGGAAGCGGATCCATCTCAAACCACGTCCGAGTTAGCTGCAGGCTGCGGTGTTATTTGTTTTTGATTAATAATAAAAAAAAATGTGAGCCGTCACGGGACGCCTGGCAGATGTGAAACATCGACATTATTTTCTTAAAGTAATATGAAAAGCAGAAAAGAACAGATTGTGATAGGAACTAAATATGTCATAGTGATAAAATAAAATATTACGATTTTTTTCCTGATAACGATGACTATTTATTGAAAAAACATTTATTTTCATTAAATATAAAAATTTACGAATTTATTTCAATCAGTGACTTCGAAATACACACACCGTACACTACTGCATATAACCTGAATATATATACCATCATATAGCGTGGCGACGCGTCACCAAGACATGCGTCGCCGCAGCAAGAACAATGTCGTCCATAGCGAGCGAATACTGAAATGCTCGTGTAGGACAGTATTGCCTAGTTGATGAAGTTGCGCCATATCGCTCAATATTGTATTGCGCAGTATTGATGCTTGTTGCCGTTGCCGTAAATTGCTTGACGACTACATCAATGACGTCATAGTTGACGAGTATTGACTGGAATTGAGCAATTTTAGTTGCCCGTGTAAGCGCACCTTTATAACATTCAGTGTCCACATTATCTGAAACATGTTGTAGGTATAGCAATGTTGTATAACATGTTATGTTATATAGTCTGTACGCACCTTAAAGGTGCGCTTACACGAAGGCAATAATTGCTCGGCGACACGAATGGACCGATCTGGAGCAATTAATATAGCAATTCCAATAAATTCAATAAACATTCTTCGGACACGTATCTCGGCGTGGTGATCAGTTCATAGAACGCCTTGTCGTCCAGGGGAAAGTGGAGGGCACTAGACCGCGCGGAAGGTCACCTACGCGCTGGACTGACCAAATCAAGTCTGCCGTAGGAGACTCTCTCAATCAGTGCAGCAGGATGACCTCTAATAGGCAACGATGGCAAAACGTCGTGAAGCGCATCACATCTGCCCCTACTGTTAAAACTACTTCCTAGCGATCACGACCGCTCTGTCAAGAGTGCAACGGATAGGAAGAAGAAGATTATTAAAAAACTTTACTAAAATGTCACGAACAGACTTTGAATTACTTTTGAATAAAGTAATTAGAAATTATTATTATTTAGACCTCTCGCTCTCTCCGCGAAAACAAGGCGGCAAGCCGCAAAACAAACAAGTGCGAATGAGATATATACAAAAAATTCTAGGAATTTCCAAGTCCATTGGATATTCGTCAATTCGTATCTGCGACATTGAGCGATATGAAATATCTGGAGCAATTAGAAGCAATATCGTCGAAATAATTTATTGAAATTTATTGAATTTATTGGAATTGCTCCATTAATTGCTCCAGATCGGTCCATTCGTGTCGCCGAGCAATTATTGCCCTCGTGTAAGCGCACCTTTATATTTATGTCTCAGTCGTAACTCATTCGTAACTATTAATCTCACCGAACAAGCACGCCAATGCGCTACGATGCTGTTTTTGCTTGTCGAGTTTCGGGTTAGTTGTCAATGAATTTTCAATTGTGTTAAATTTTACCACAATTTGTTTATATGGGAACACGAGGTTTATAGTTATTTAAATATTCATTGTACTTTTACGAAAATATTTATAAAATAAATCGCATAAAAGATATATGTTTGATTGTATAAAACTCCTTATTATTTCTATTTAAAAGAAATACTACGTTCAGAAAGCTAGTGGATGGAAGGTTTCAAATTTTACATCGGAGTGAGAAGTGGGACAAAAGTCGCAACGTTCCATTTTGTTCAATGGAACGCAGAATCTTTTCCGTTTAACGGCCTGAGTCCTCAGAACCCCAATTTTGATGATCTGCTAGTAACATAAAAACAGGTGCTCCGAAAGTAACAAAAATCAATAATTTAATGTAATAAAAACACATTTACTTTTGAAATTCTAAATTCTGTATGAAATAATTTAAATGTATCAACGTTTTTGACATAATATTTCATCTATGGCATTTATATTGCTGTGACATTTTTCAATTATTGTAAATTGAGCTGTTCAAGGATCTAGTTTTAAGTGATCGTAAGTACTTTTAAATGCACTGCAGGTAATTGCAGCAATGTTGAAAAAACATAAATGTACTTTGAGCCTTGGTAAGGAAAGATGATAATTGCCTATTACTTATTACTAGTAAATCCTTTACAAACTATTGTATTATTTGTTTGACATATTTTTTCGTTCGTTTAACACCAACAGATATAGACAAGACAACTCAGAAAAAGAGAAGCATACAGTACAACATTGCTCAGTTGACTCGTAAAGCATGTTTGATCTCCCAGGATCATCCAAACACGTTTGACCATTTCAGAAGCGATACTGCAGTGACAGCAGAGCAGCAGCGGCAGCTGTTCGAGGGAGACAGCTATGTCATACACCCTTTAAGTCTCTTCAGGTCAACTAAGTTATAAAATTCTGAAAGACCAACGCTTTAAGCTTCAATGCTAGTCGTTGGTCGATCTTTCTACTGATACAAAGAGACATAGAGCCTTTTACTCCAATCTTTAAACTTGTAGCATACAGTAAATTCAATCATATTATTATATTTAGTCTATAGATTTAACAAGTCAATACCATAATTAAGTTAGCCTTAATCGTAATTCGTCAGTATTTTTGGTGTAACAGTTCTGCCTTGTTGGCGCGGCTTACAAATAAACATCACTATTTTAGTCTTTATTGGGATGGTGTGATGACTGTTTTGAACGTATTACACATGTGCTGTTCCACCTTCCGCCTGTGCTTCGTCATCGACTACCCGCACCCCCCACAACTCCACAAAACTGATATATTTATGCTGTTTCTACACCTGTTAGCTTTATTGGATACGATTATCAAATTCAATACTGGTTTCTTCCAAGAATCCATTCGTAATGTGGTTATGCTTAGAAAACAAATTGCTTGGTAAGATTTGGTTTTACATATTCTTGCTCTTCTCTTTCTGAGTATAGCATTTAATGAATCTTATTTTCCTTTATTAATATATTTTAGCTTAAAACTGTCCATTTTATGTTTTTATTTTCATTAGCTTAAAATATTTCAATATATAAGAGAATTGTAAATGATTTTAGCCGATACCTCCGTTACAAATTTTGGATAGACTTTTTATCGTGTGTGCCATTACAATTCATATTATTGATTACCGGAAACAGAATAAGTCGCTTCCATTTATTAGCACACCTTCTTCCTCTCCTGAGAATAGTAAAACTTAGATCAACTATAACAAATTTACACACTGTCGTAAAGGTACGTATCACTTTATACACACTTCCACACTCCTCATACAATATAAGATACTTTGCGATGAATGATAGAATTAGTAAAAAATTGGTAAAAACTGCGTTTATTATTAATATAGTAGCTTAAAGTTAAACGCTTGTTGAAATTCAACCGAATATAGTTTACCAATAAAACGTTTTTAATTTAAAAACTTGCAGATTTTCACGTTGTCATTTATCTGGCATCGATCAATTCACCATTTAGTGTTGTTTGCGGTGTCGATGCATTGGTCCAGCTGCTTCCTTTACACTCCTGTTGTATTCACATATTATTGTAAGTGTGAAATAAATGGTTTTATATTTTTACAACAATTGAATTTAATTCAATCCGCTTACAGGGACTGGGAGTGTTCCTAAAGGTTATAATACATTTTTGAAATCGACCGACGCAGGTGCAGATGGCGACATAACTAAGTTTTCTATCTGCCAGAAATACCTTCAAGCATTTTTTGTTTGTCTATCCACCTTTTTTGGTAAGCTATATTTGATCCCACGTTGTGTATTTTCTTGGCTTTTCAATGTACTATAAAAAACGAAGTCGATTCCACCGCCCCGTAAAGTTGGTTACGGGGTGCACGATCAACTATTAATGTTTCGTTTATAGTTTCAAGAACTAGGTACCGGTCCAAGGAATGCTATGAATTAAGATAACAGTTAACTTATGACCATTAGCCTCTATAAGTAACTGAGTTGAATGTTTGTAAAAAGTGTCATCGAATGGACCAGAATATTTCACATTAGCATTCTCTGTCCTCGTCTGACAAATGATGTTATGCGTTAACTCTCTTTCATTCTACCTTAAATAATTATCATCTATAACAGCAGGAACCCTTATTTGCGGCCAGATTTAACTAGGCACCCTTATACGATAATTAATAGAAAAAAATAGGTTCAATTTGATATTTAATTAATAAATGTACGTTATAAACGTATAAATGTATCGAAACCATACCTCGCTGCGAAGAAGTGCGGCCAGGTGGGCAACGGCAACCGTGATTTTTTTAAATATTTATGTATGTTGTTGCTGTGATGTACCTAGACGATATTTTATTTAAACAACAAGTGAACGAAATGTTTTCCCAAAAATCAATTCAAAATAATTTAATTAAAAATACTAGCGGCCAAATTTTGATCGGCAACTTGGTTAAACATTCTCCTAATTGTAAATATACATAAAAAATTGATTTTAGCAAATAACCGATGAGCGCACTAATCCTGCAGCCGGATCTCGTACTATTAATAAAAGAGATACATATAAGTTAAATTCGGTTGGGCGGATGCCATAAATGACCGTCAATCAAAAATCCCGTAGAACATGGACGCTCGCTTCATTCGCTTAGTAAAAACAATCAAGTTTGGCATCAAAGCGTGTCCTTCTTGTAGGTAATGACAATCGCGGGGCTCTCTAAATCTTCACTTAGTACATAATATAATAATAATAGAACATAATAACGTAATAAAACATGGCGAAACTGTATTAATTTAAGCCATAGTACGAGGTAACTAATGCTTCGCCTCTCCCAATATTTTATTAGTATTGATATGACGTGCTATAATAATATTTATTTGTTATGTGAAACAGGTACAGGGTTTTCTACGTACAAAGTTAACAATGCCGACGAATTTGTCATTCATTCTTGCATTATACTCTATGCCTCATTGTTTATGGTTTATACAATAGGTGAGTGTCCAGCAGGTTACTGTAAAACAATTTTGTTTTGTTTTGCTATTATTAAGGGACGGGACAAATACATTTTTAATTAAGAAAAATATTTATTAATTGTAAAAAACCTTTTATCATTTTAGTATTCCTGTTGAAGATTTACATGACCCAATATAATTCAACGATGCGTTACAACGGTCTGATTAACCAAGTAGAGGTAATGCACCTCAATTGTTTCATGCATCAAAATAAAACATATTTTTAATAAATGTTCCGGTTTGCATTTTAGGCATACATGCAGCAAAAACAATTCCCTAAACCTTTGAAGGAACGAGTATTCACTTTTTATACTTACAAATACGAAAAAAAATATTACAAAGAAGATGCCGTATTAGATTGTCTCTCGGGTAAATACCCTTTAAAACTTACCCTTGTGGCGTTGATTAAAAAGATACTTAACAACAATCGAATATCCACAGAGCAGCTCGGACACGAAATCGTAATGCACACCTGCAATAGATTTATCCAGAAGGTAAAGCTGCTGAGGGGTTTGGCCGCCCACCTGATGGGCGAACTGATGAGCTACCTGAAACCCGAAGAGTACCTTGCCAGCGACCTCATTGCTCGGGCAGGCGACATTGGAGATTGCGTTTATTTTATTGCCTACGGCACTGTTGCTGTTTATTCCTTGAAAGGAGCAGAGGTTTGGTATACTCTAAAAAACGCTCCAGTTCCTTTCACTTGACCGTATTTAACGAAGAGCGGTTCGAATCGTCGACGACCAATCCCTTTCCGAGCGGCTTGATCCCTTAGCGTTGCGTATAGATGCGGAATCTCTCTGCATCTTCTACCGCATTCACCGTGGAGTGTGTTCAGATTAGTTATTCGGATTAATAACTGCAGCTGAGTTTCATCACCGAACGTCGGGGCAGAATACGACATTCGACCCGAATCATCTCGACGTCCGTCGTTCCATAATTGAGCGTTTTTTAAGGCGCGCACCACCACTATGTAGAACCAACTGCCCGCTGAAGTATTTCCGAAGCAAGTCGACTAAGGGTCCTTCAAGAAAAGAGCGTACCAATTCTTAAAAGGCCGGCAACGCACTCGTGAGCCCTCTGGCATTGAGTGTCGACGTGGGCGACGGTATCACTTAGCATCAGATGAGAGAAAATGCTTCTTCAGCGGTAATGGGATGGGATAGTACTTAAATGCAATTTACTTTTCGCTAACTTATGAAGCGGCCATCATCATTCCCAAAAGGAAAAACTTTTTGTTGTTTTCATGGAAGTGATTTTGTAAAATATTTTCCTACTTAGATAACGCATTTAGAGGATGGCGATCACTTTGGCACGGTTGCAATGCTGATGAAGGACTCGAAGCGAATCGCAACAATTGTCGCCGTAGAGATCACTCACTTATATCGATTGGACGCCATTTACTTCCGGTTCGTTTAACATCTTTAATATAGGTACTTATTTGGCCGTAAAATCTGTTACTGTATAAAAGCTGATGAAGTACAGCTCAGTAGCTGAACTTAACTAGGTCGTGAATGTAAACCTGTAAGCGGTTTTACGGTCCGTTTACAAACGTCGACGATGCAGAAGACACAAAAAGTATGATGAAACGTTGATGAACTGCTTCCTTCTAAATGTTTATTAGGGACAAGAGGATTTCGGATTTACTAAACCAGATTAATATATAGGGGATACCTTGTACCCGGTTAATACCCCACAAAATATGAGGCCCATATATAAGGCCGCCTAAGGAGAAGGATCAGATTAGTAAAAAAAATTGACCATCAGAAATTCCCGAGGCGTCAGATTAAGGTAGTGAGTTAATTACATCCTAAAAAGTGTATATTCCACTAATCTGACAATTTGAAAGTGACGTAAAAAAGGGGAGGGCAACAAAGTTGTAAAAAAAACGTCATCTCGACATTCTCGAGGTAGCTAAATTTTTTATTTTGAAGGAAATAATTCAAGAATAATGAAAAATATATAATCTGACGATTTCCGCAAGCCGAAATAACAAAAATTCGTCGATAAAGTTAAATGCGTGCAGCTGCTGATGCCTACATTTCCTTAAACCATCGAATCTACTAAACGGCGTTCTAAATATTTCCCTCAAAATTACATTTCCTGTGAATTTGAACCATTCGGACCGATAGATTTTGAGAAATTTTGAAAAATCTTAAAAAATAAGAAATATTTTTTTAAGTGGTTTCTTTATCGATCAACTTCAAAAACTAATCCGCCTTTGAGCTTGAAAAACCACGTCGATCGCCACCAAGCTGGCAACGGTTGATTCGTTCGAGAGATATCTGAAGAAAGAAACCCGAAAAAGTGTTTTTTCGGGATTACTCCGAAATTTGTGGTTCGATCAATTAAAATTGCAAAATTACATATGAGGATGATAAAACTGCGTCGAATGCCGCCAACCCTGAAAATTGCTTGATCCATTCAAAAGTTATTGCGGTTTGAAAATTCCAAAAATAGTGTTCTATGAAACTTCTATCAGACTTTCGAGCTGGGAGAGCTCAAATGCATAGAAATATTATTTCTTTGAACTCAGCGAGCTCAAAATATCCCAATTTAAGCGCCCAGGAATAATTAGCGGAAGTTGCAGGATGCCCTTTAGGTAAGTTAATTTTTTTGTCGATCAGGCGAATCCCTCTATTTATTACAGTACGTTTAAACATAAAGATGAACCACATATATCTTAATCTGACGCGCTTGAGTATTTCAAAATTGCGTTTTTTTTTGCAAATTATGAAAATGGCTGGTTGCGTCCCATCGAAATCGTAGATTAGTGAATGAGAGCTTTTATTGGTGCACTTAACACTCCCTTAGAAAATCTGACCCCATAATTTTTATTTTTTTCATTTTCAACCCTAATACAACCCCCCATCATCAAGATCAGATTAACATACGTACATTATTAAAAATACTAGGGCATTATGCTATCAATATCTGACGCGCTCGAGATTCCATCACAGTTTTTTACATATTTAACAATCTATAGCCGCTTCCCCCACCGATGAAAAGGTATATATCATATAACATTTTTTTCTTCTTATTATCTAAGCTTTGCATCCCAATAGGTCTCTACGACGCTCGAGTAAATCCCCATTTAGCATCGTGGGCTCCCCTACCATTAGATCTTGATTGTTTGGCATTGTAAAGCTTCTCCTTAACACAGATTATTTTAAACTACTTAAATATAAATTGTTACTTTTCAAGTGGTGTTTCGTTCTTGGGTCAGTGGGAGGATTTAAATATTTGTGGATATTATTTTCACACTACATTAATCAACTATCTCGTAACTCGGCCTTGCTTCGTACTTGCTGTCTAATTTTTGTATCAGTTGATGAGAAACGAAATGTTGAAAAAACTATGATTGCTTATCCCCCAAGCCAATAAAATCACTAACTGGACGCTGATAAATATGTTGCTGTAATTGTGGAGGAGGGAAGTTGTACTGTTCCTCAAATCTAAAGTGAGGGACCTTGACTAACTGTGAGTCAATCTAGCAGCTGGCCGACCAGAAATAAATTATTAGTATTAATTTTATTTAGGACAAACTGAGCCCTAAAGTTTGCTTTTTCATATTACTAGCTTATATCCAGATACCTTTTTAGTAAAAACATAATTTTGTGATCAGGTAAAAATGTATATAATGAGAAAGTGATCATAGAAACCGTTACAAATATGTGAGGCCAAGCTCAAAGGTTGCAGCACCATTTTTTTTATATCTGTATCTAAAAATATTTGTCTCCAAGTAAAAACTGTTTAAACATTTAGATTAATTTGCTGATAATATTGAATAAGTTTTCTTATAAAATCTACTCTGTAATTTTTTTTGGTTCATTAATCCCAAAATCAGGATTTAGAGTAAAAATATGTACTAAGTAAATTTAAACTTTCTTTTGAAAGTATAATTTTTGTATATTGTATATTTCAAATATTTGGTGGGGATAAAATTGTGCATATTTTAGTAGATCACTAAAAATTCACATACCTCTAACTGAAGATATAATTTAGATACAAGTTTGTATATTTTTAGCCAGTACCTAATGTCCAATAAGATCATCCGGGAAAGAGTTGAGACTCAGGCTTCAAAGAGAATGCATGTGACAGTTTTGCTAGATGAAGAGTTCCGTAGAAAACAAGAGAAGAAATGGGAAGATAATATTGTGTTTAGTCATGATTTTACTTAGGCAGCATAGAAAACAACAATTATCAAGGATTCTTAAGGGCATCATCAAGTTCTCCAAAGATTTTCATTGTCATTTGAATAGTTATTAATAAATCCATTAATTATACAAATTACTTTTATTAAAACTTAAAAATACATATTCAATAAGACTGCTTGCATAGGTTTATAGAAAAACCGGTATGTGCAGATGGCTTAATTCTAGACATATATGCCTACCCAAAGTAATAAAAACAAGATACCAAACCCTGAAAACAAGGATGCTACCAATGATAACAGGAGCTCCTTAAATAAATCTCTGGAACTCTTTGTGCTTGTAACTTCATACACGAAGAACCACGCTGTAAAGAATATTCCAATGCTTAAGAGAAGAAGAGTAAGATGCGGAAACACTGCAGGGTTGATTGGAGATACGTGACGAACCATTGATTCTATTTCCAGCTAAAACAAATACTCGATTAGACTATGACCTAGCTTAAACAAATAACTTAAATCAGTTTAAATACTTACACTCATCTTTTAAGCTGTATTCGTTTTAACAAAGCGTCCAACAAATAAGAAATACCGAAAACGCGGAGCCAATAAACTTTGAAAACGTATTAACTTATAAGTAACTGCACAGACTAAAATATTTTAAAGATTAAGAACACAGCTTAGAATAATGTAAATCTTTAAAAGACAAACACTCAAATTCTTTACATATATTAAAAATAATAGGTGTAAACGCCTTTCCATAAAATAGTTTTTTAATTTAATAAAATAATCAGCTTATATTGATCCTGCCTCTCAAAACAGGTAGAGACTAGAGTGAATTTAATCTATTATTGTCCACACTCAAAAGGTCTAAATGGCGTAAATGATTGATACTAAAGTTGAAATATAATTATTTTAAATTTTACTGCCTCATTGAGATAGAATTTATTAAAAATTTTAATTTTTGACCCATGTTGAGATTTTTTTCTTACTTTATTTAAATCTTTATTAGCGCTTATTTGTGTTTAAAAAGAATTGTGCATCTTTTGTTTTGTTTAGTTCGAGGACAAAAGTGTAAAGAGGGTTGGTACCAGTGTGGTGTGGTGTTAGATTTGACAAAAACCACACTTATAGCAAAGACAATCTATGTCTCACCATTACGTAATTAAGTGAAGTCACTTTTTAACAATTATTAAGAATGAAACGTACGAAAAGATGTTGGAATTATCCGTTATTTGGTAGTCTATATGATTTGAAAGACAACATAATATTCCCACATATGAATATGTGATGAATTTGTATGGGTGAAACCGACACAAGCTAAAATTCGGGAGATAAAGAAATTGAGGGTAGTGTGATTGCAAAACTAATAGAAATATGGGCGAAATCTTCTATTCCTACAGTTGAACCTAAAAAAATGAAGGAAATGCTAATCATATCATTTAAAATGCAAAAATTTGCTAGAATCTCACCCAAAAACCTAATTTAAGATCGAAGATTTTCGTCATGAAATGACGTCTCACTTGCAAGTGTCGAGATTTCCCCTTTTGGGGTAAAAAGTACCTCAAGAAAACACACTTCATCAGTAATCATATCCCAGAAAAATGGTAATTGGTAGTTATGTCACCCAAACAATACAAAATTAGTTATTTCAACATATTGACGGCAGTACGTCTAGCCCAAAACATTTTCAGAGGAATTAGTAAGCAGCTTAAAATCTTGAGCCCTCTCACAATTTCGATAACTCAGTTTACTGCTATTCCTACAACCTACTGGAGCTTTCTGTTAGTACAGACCAGAACTACTTGTACAGAATAGTCGAAGCATTTCAACAGCACATTTCCCACAATTTACAACAAATCACCAGCATAATGTCTCATCCCCATTTAACCAACAGACAATAAGATTTTCATCTGTATGCTAAAGTAGAGACTCCTTCTAAAATTTCTTTAAACGAATGTGATGAATGAAGCACTCTTGCAACAAAGCTTTAAGTTTTGCCGCCATATGGTTTTCCATAAAAACTCTTTCAAGCTTAATGATGGATCGAGGCCTTTCTATAAACTTATTGAGTAAACCAATATGCACCAACAGCATTGAAGGCTTTTATTGACGCACCCAGAAAATCTTAATTGTTAACAGACCCCAGCGGAAAATTCCGAAGTAGCTGCACGTCGAATTTTGAAAGTTCAGCTCATGTTAGATCAGCAATATTAAAACGACTGTGTCTTTTTCAGTTACCAAAAGATTAAATTTGACGCAATAGCATACTACGACCTTTTAAATTGGCAGAAAAGTTTTACTGACCACCGCTATTAAAATCTGTTACCGAAAAAAAAAAATATTATTTATTGAGCAGAAAGGAGAAGGAGAACCGGATTTACTACGTCTATCTTGTCACACTCAAGCAGTAGAAAGAGCCGTTAAAGCCGTGACAGAAGTTTCAGCCACTATATGCGATAAAACATCAAGAGAGGGATTCATAGACGCCCACTAGATTGAAGGAAAGGATGCGAAAATTCGACAGCAAGAAGGATTTTAACGGCACCTAAACATTTCAATTAAATAATAATTTAGCTAATGAGAATAGTTATTACTCTATTTTAATATTCTTCTATTAATAAACAAAAGATTCTTATGATTTTCGGTCTTTATATTAAAAACAAAAGATCTTTGCTTGTCCTTGAATGGCCCTTTTTTACTATATTTCTTTAATTTTCACATGACTCCAGGAAGTTGATTCCAATTATCAAACCTATTTTTTACAGTACCATTTGCCCTTTTAGTCACTGTGCTCCTATAAAAACCAAACTTTTTTTTTTTCTTCATAATATTTGACCCACCCTAGTGTACATGTTATACGCCCATAAATCTTTGACAGTGACACTACAAGTGATTTATTCTCATGCAACTAATATCTAATCTGTGCTAGTTACTGTGTGTTGACAGTGACACTATATTTCTTTAAAAAATAAGCATAATCCTTATTCATATTTTATAGCTATTAGCTATGTATAATGTACTATGTAGTTGTAGTTGGTACTTTTTTATTTTATAGGGTTGGTCATAAATCTTATATATAATAATCATTTAAAGAAAACCTAATTTAGGAGATATTGTCTCCTCAATGTTTTGTTATAAGTGCACTAATCTTTTCGAATTATAGTGAAAATATGGAGACCAAACCTACTACAAAAGAAAAAGTTATGTCCTATCAGGAAAAGTCAGTGGGTTCTACACCCTTTTTCAAATGTGAGGCTTGTCCTTACATGGCATTAGCAGTAGACGACATAAAATTTCATCTCTTTACCGTTCATCCTGAATTAGCCAAGAAAAATGGTCTTGCTGAAAATATTCAAATCAACTGCCCGGGTTGTTCAAGTATATTTGATGCAGAGGAAACGTTGAGAACACATCTACGTAATCATCACAAAATGGGATTTAAAGATGTCAAAAAAATGGTTAAGAGCCTCATACAAATTGCTTTAAAAAATGTGAAGTTAAAAAAAGATGTACCTTTAACTGGAAAGATACCACAGGTAATAGAAATAGTACCAGATGCATTAAGCACAATTAATGAACAGTTACCTAGGGGTGTAGCCTTCATATCTGTGGATGAATTACATAAAATGAGTACTCCTAACTTTGAAAAGGTTGACCCAAAGGATGTTATACAAGAAGCCAGCATAAATATTGTATACACTGAAGAAGTATCTACACAATTTGTTAATATGCCTAAGGCAAGTAATGCAGGGCCATGCAATCTTCTTCAAATGTCCAATGTACCCCCAGATTTAATATCATCAATTCAACCACAAAATAATAATAACATGATTGCATCTAAAGATGATATTCTACATCCAGATACTACAAAGCCATATAAGTATAAACCAAAAGATACAGATGTTAATCCTAAGGAGCTAGGAATATTGTGCTCTGTAAATAAATGCCATATACGGTTAAAAGATCCTAAGATCATGGCATATCACAGGAAGTGTCATCATAATGGCCAACTTCGGTGTCCTGAGTGTCTTATAGTATTTGCAACGGCTGAACCATTACACTCTCATCTATGGAAATCACACTCAATAGATTTAGAACTACCCACCTGTGATATATGTGGATATAAAACCTTCAAACGGTACAGATTGATAAATATACACATGAAATGTCACAAAAAAATCAGGGCTTACCCATGTGAGTACATTGAAAGGATGTTTTTTTGGCCCTTTTTCTTAAATAACAGTGGTGTAATATTAACTTTAGAGACATTTAAATACAACATCTAGGGTTTAATTTTTCTTGCCATGGTTTTACTGATTATATGTTTTGGAGTGATAACTGGCTCAAGTAATTTTTAATATACTGCAGTAGCAGTACAAATTTTGATTGAATATCAGCATTGCTTGCCACATCAGTGAAACTAATATAATATGTGCAAATTACAGGTACAGTGTGTTCAAAAGCTTTTAAAAATGCTAATCAATTATACAAACATCGAATAATTCATAAAAAGACCATGCAATGTCACATCTGTAAGACTGAATTTTCGAACCAACAGAGGCTACAACTACATATCTCTGCTGTCCATGACAAAATAAAGCCATTTAAGTGTAGCCATTGCGATTATTCCTGTGCAAGGAAAGAGGAGCTGAAATTACATATCAGATCTCATACAGGCAAGAAAATATTTTTGGTTACATCATAATATGGATGTTTATTAAAGATAGCTTTAGTTGTGAAGTTAATTTATTAAAGATTTAATTAAAGTCAGTCATGTTTAGTAGATAATATACATATGCTGTAGCGGTTTTTTTTAGAAAATTTTAAGACTCACCAATGGAAGCACTTAAAAGGAATTTTCTTGTTTAGCAAAATTTTTCATTAATTACCTACTCACATTTGTCGTAGTGCGTATACATATTTTTGATTCAGTAGTTCCTGAGATTATCGCGTTCAACCAAAGAATCGCCAGCCTAGTATTATTATACTCTATATCCATATCTGAAAATTGGTAGATTGTGTTATTTT